GAAGGAAAAGAGGTTTGATAGGTATCATGAACTGGGGCAGCATGCGTTTGGGGAGAAACTTGGACTGTGGATTGTGGTGCCTCAGCAACTAATGGTTGAGGTTGGTGTGAACATAGTTTATATGATCACTGGTGGGAATTCTCTGATGAAGATTTATCAGACTGTTTGTGGTGACTGTAAGCCCATTAGGAGGACTTACTTCATCATGATGTTTTCTTGTGTTCAATTCCTTCTCTCCCATCTCCCTAGTTTCAACTCCATCACTGGTGTTTCTTTGGCTGCTGCTGTCATGTCCCTCAGGTAGGGTTTTCAATTTTTTACAGTTATTCATCAGTAATCATCTTTGCCACGTGATGCATGACTCAAGTGATTTTAAATGATCATGAATTTTTTTTCAAAAATTTTAATTAGAGAAAATATTTTTGAAATTTTTCTATCTATCAGAATCAAAATACCGACATCAATATTTAAACATAAGGTTTTATACACACTACTTTAATAAATAATTAATTTACAGAGAAAGTGTGATCATAAGATACAATCCTATGGCCAAATATAGGTCTAAAACTAGAACTGTGTGCACGTGTTATGCTATTATACACCATACACTATGCAACAACTTCTCTAGGAAGGAGAGATGATTTCAGCGTGATGCAAATTAACATGTTTTTGGCCGTTGTGCAGCTACTCCACTATTGCTTGGATAGCTTCACTCCACAGGGGCGTTCAACCAGGCGTGCAATATGGCAGCAAATTTTCAAGCGATGCAGGAAACATATTTGGCTTCTTTAGTGCTTTGGGGACTATAGCTTTTGGGTATGCTGGGCACAACGTAGTTTTAGAGATTCAAGCAACCATTCCTTCCACACCTGAAAAGCCATCCAAAATCGCCATGTGGAAGGGCATGATTGTTGCTTACATCGTTGTGGCTCTATGCTACTTTCCTGTTGCTATCTTTGGTTATTGGGCTTTTGGAAACAATGTTGATGATAACATCCTTTTGTCCCTCGAGAGACCACGCTGGCTCATTATAGCCGCTAACATATTTGTTTTTGTCCATGTAACTGGGAGTTATCAGGTACACCACATGCACCACATGATTATTGCTCTCTCTCTCACAAAATTTATTTTCTGCTTTGTCACTAATCAAATTAATTTTTCTTGTTAGGTCTTTGCCGTTCCGGTGTTTGATATGTTAGAATCGTTCTTGGTTAAAAGGATGAAGTTCGAGCCTAGTCGGTTACTTCGATTCATAACTCGCAATGCATACGTTTGTGAGTGTACTTCCACCTTTCATACAAGTCCATTTTCGTGTATTAAATGCTAGTGATGCTCTATCATAATACAGCGATACTCTATTTAATACTCTTTTGTTATTAGGTTTTTTACTATTAGTTGAAAATCATTTTTTTTAAGTTCTACCATTAAATCAAGTATTAAAAAAGACACGAGATCCATCAAAGTTATAATTTTTAGTTAAATTTCAACCAATAAAATAGAAATTATTTAATAGAGTGTCACATACTTGTTAATTCCACGCACGAAGAGACTCTATCTAACCATTACAAGTTTCTTTATATATGCAGTTCTTACATTGTTGCTGGCAGTTACATTTCCTTTCTTTGGTGGGCTTCTCGGCTTCTTTGGGGGATTTGTCTTTGCTCCAACCACATACTTTGTAAGGAAAATATATACAAGTCTACAATAATTTTTTATAGCCTATAATTAAATGCTGATGTTAATCTATTTCGTGATCGTTTGCAGCTCCCGTGCGTAATGTGGCTTGTCATCTACAAACCAAAGAGGTTTAGCTTGTCTTGGTGTGCAAATTGGGTATGTTATGCAGACCAAAAATGTATATTCTATACGATCCTGTATAATTGTTTTTGTTTAATATTGCATGCTATTACTTTTTAGTAGAAACGAGTTTGATTTTTCTTCTTATCACAGATTTGTATCGCATTTGGAGTGTTATTGATGGTGCTAGCTCCTATTGGTGCATTGAGGCAGATCATACTAGAAGCTAAGGATTACAAATTTTTCTCGTGATCTTGTTCGCTTGTACATAGAAGGCTGCAAGATTTCACAAATTTTCCATCACGACATTTTGTTGGCTATTTCTTTTAGTTCTTATTTTGTCACATAGTTTTATCAGTAATACTTTCTTTGTTTCGTAGCATTGATTACTTTTTAAGTTCCGTTTTTCATAGTTAATGCAAGATTATATTTGGCCAGAATTTGCATTAAGACAAGAGGGAATAGGTGTGACTAGATTTGTGCATTAGGTTGAACAAACAAATGGTTCTTAATTTTATGCATAAAACAATTAGTTCAATGCAATTTGTTTTTGTTTATTATTGATTTGATTGTGAATTCTTCGATAGTACCGATATGACATACGAGGGAACAAATTATTCGTATTAATTTGGCTCTAATTTGTGGTTGATCGTAATGATAAACTTAAGTTTTTTAAACAAGTGTTTAAGGATTTGAACTCGTTCATGAAAAAACTTGAATGGATAAGAGTAACTCATCTTTGAGTATTTTTATCTCCTAAAGATTGATCTTAATGAACAATTTAAATAATCATCATTATTATATGCATATATGAAAAATATTGTATTAATTTGGTGATTGTTAATTATTTGATCAAGAATGTTAAGAGACTTCTTTACGACGGAAGAAACATTGATCGTGAATCCCAATTAGTGGTGAACAATAATCTAAAAGTTGACCCAAAATTAAAAAAAACTAAAAGAAAAAAAAGGTAGATGTGGTTGAGTTCAAACAGGTTACTAGTTTAGATAAATTTAAAAAATAGTTTAACACGAATTATTTCAATTAATTAGACTCTATTTGAGTTTTAGTGACAAAGTTTAAGTCCAAAGTAACTTTGAAAGCAACAAAGTTTTAGTGAGTTTATTTGATCCATCTCTAACCTAACCCATTAACATAACATTATAAGTTACCAGTCCAGTCTATCGATCTTTTAATCTCATTCTCATTTGTTACTTTTGAAACCTTAATGTTGCTTCTGAGAGCTCAAGAGTTTCACTCATCAATGAAATTGTTACTTTACTTCATAGCCTTCTGTTATCCCTCAGTGGCTTAGTCTATGTGATTTCAAATCATTTTGCTAAGAGTATGTAGCAACTCACCATACGCTCTCAATCTCTCTCCCTCTAAAAAGAAAAGATACTTATATATATTGTGTTGTAACAATTTTTATTGTTTATTTCTCACTTTATATAATTACAGTTTAATAGGTTTCCAAACAATGTTTGTATAATAGGTTTCCATATGCACCATGTTTGATCCAAAACGACATCGTCAACATTGTTCTACATGGTTTATGATTCTTAATAGATTTCTTCCTATTATTATGCTAAGACAAATAAGAATATTATGTATTTTTCTTCTTGGGGATCTTTGTAACTTGTTATATTTTTCTTCACAAAGTACTATTTTTAGCCTAATAAACTATTCAATTGAGCATATAATTAATACTTGACACTTATAGTGAATGCACAATCGATGATTTTATTTATTATTTTAATATTTTTTGTTTTAGTATATTTTAAAATAATTATAATAGTTAAATTATTTGAAACTTGAATAATTTTAGTCATATTTGATCTAATCTAGATTGAATAAATTTTTTTTTGATAAAATAATTGAAAAAAATAAAAAGGGTTAAAAACTTTATTTGGGTAAGTTAAATGAAATATGGTCCAATAATGTTCATACTTGCATTAAACCATTCATATATATACCAAGATCCACTCAAACCGATGGGCCATTTGGTAACCTACGGATTTATATAATGCAACTTGCGAGTCATAGTGATTTGGGTTATATCAACTTGAAATCGATGTACCCGACCATTGGTCACTCCTAAACTCAATTAGGGAATAGTAAGTTATAAGATTTCAACAAGCAAAACATATTTTTTTTTAAATAAAATATTTTTCATTGATTTTATCATGACAAACTCAATTGAGATGGAACCAAAATGTAGTCTTTGGACCTTCTTTGTGACTTTTATTCATAAATTCTAATTAGACCACATATTGAATTGAAACCAAATACTACACAATCTAGTGTAGCCATAAATAGTCTCTCAAGCAAATTTGTGGTTATAATTAATGATCGATTAAGCTTCATATATGCTCCTAATAAGTTCCAAATTTAATCTATTATTCCTGTTGAGGCTTAAACTAAAGGTGATGTAACCAAACTATTTTGAGGTCAAACTTATTTCTATAATCAAGAAATCATGTGTAAATAAAGTGTCTAAAGAATTTGAATTTTATCAAAAGCCTATAACCCTAAATTGTAGGTTAATTGTCTTTTATAAAGTCCTTTCTCATACAATTTTTTATTAGTAAATACTACTTATAAAATTTAAGATCATTTGTATGACTATAACTCATATATGTACATTACTTTCCAACTAGAAAGAGTTTTGAACATGGTTGGCATAATTGTGATTTTATTCTCACTTGGAAAAGGGTCATATAATCGTAATGTAACAACTTAGACATATCAGAATGAGATAGATCTATAGATTGTACATGTGTGAGACTATGCAGTTGAGGATAACTTAAATAAATTAATTTGTACTACTTAGATCAACAAGATGTATTTACTTTTCGGTAGCTCATCACAAAAGAACTTCATATTTTATTTGTATGACTATAATTATGATCATTTGTATGACTATAACTCAAATATGTACATTATTTTCCAACCAGAAAGTGTTTTGAACATGATTGACTGTGATTTTATTCTCACTTGGAAAAGGGTCACATAATCGTAATGTAACAACTCGGACAAACCAGAATGAGATAGATTTATATATTGTACATGTGTGAGACTATGTAGTTAATGATGACTTAAATGAATTAATTTGTACTACCTATATCTATAAGATGCATCTATTTTTTGATAGCTCATCACAAAAGAATTTCATAGTTAAGTGTGCTTAACTTGGAGCAATTTAAATATGAGTGGTCCTTTAAAAAATTTCTCAAAAAGTGTACAAGTGAGGATATAAAAAACATGTTAAAAAATTTTGTGTTAGTTTATGGGATCAGTTATTGATCCTAAAGGTGACTAGACATTTCAACAAGGGCTACCGACGGAGGGTTGGTACCAATGAAGAATTGTGTAAAATATCACTATGTATGTGAAGTGTCTTGAAGTGGAGCTATTGAGACCTTAAATTTGAGAGATGTTACAAGTAACATGTGAAATCATAATCCTAAAAAATAGATTCCACTATACTTGTATATATATATATATATATATATAGCGAGAGAGAGGAGGGATTCGTTTACTTCAAGAGTAAGTCTACCTAGCCATATTCCATTCAATAGCTCATGTTCTACATCAAATTTCAACGATCCAACTGTTAAATTTAAAGTTATTAATGCATAGATCAAATCTGTAAATTTTTAAAAAATTTGAAAATTATTTGATACTTATTTCATTAATTCAAATTGATGGATAATCATAAAATCATTTTATACATTAATATTGAATTAATGTAAACAGATCCCTCCTCATATATATATTCTAGCATACATTAAATATTAATTAAATTAAACTTAAATTTATAATCATAAATCCATCTCGTTGCCAATGCCACTCTATAGTTACAACAGAATAGAGGGGAAGTGAAAAAAGAAACAAAGTCGTGAAGTTTAGTGCTAAAAACTTTCAATTCTGTTTGAAAAAAAAGAGAGAAAAAAGAAACCACTCTCAATACAGGTTCCAAGATGTTATATATACTATTAGTATCTAGTAGTTTAAATAGTGAAATTAACAATGAGAATCATAGTTCTAATTCTCATGGGTTAATTGCTTTTTTTAAAATATTTATTTAATTTTTATTAAAAATTTTATATATAATAAAATATATAAAAAAGTCATTATAAATATAATATATGTAGATACAAATTTATTTAATATATAATTATACACGATTTTTATAATTTTAAATAAGATTTAACAACATATATTGTATGTCACTATAGCATATATCTACACTTTTTAACAATATATCAACATATATTATATTTATAATAATGATAAAAAATAAGTTTAGTAACAAATATTATATCACTATAGTGTGTCACCTCAAAAAAAAAATATCATTATAGTGTGTATATTATTATATGACAAATTTTTTTATTAAAAATAATAAATAATAAATTTATTTAATAAAATAATAAAACTTTTATCAAATAAGTATATAATTTATAATTTTATATTTTTGTAAATAAATATAAACATGCAATTATTTTTATCTTCCATTTCTTTTTTAATGTGTTTTTTTCCTATTTTTTTTAATGTATCACTTAAGTTATATTATTTATTTATTATAAAAATTATATTATTTATTTATCAAAAAATATATTAATATATATTGTATCATCTAATTAAGTTATATTAGTTATTTATTATAAATACAGTATATTCACAGTTAAAATGAAACAAGAGATTTTAATTAATTTAAATGCTTTGGAAAAATTTGTATACCATTTTAAAATAAAATTTTATGAAAAGGTTAGTATTTGAATTTGAGTCATGCCTTATCTTAATCTAAATTTCTTGAAGGAAAAAAGTTTTCATAATCCAAAGATCTTTTGAAAATAATGGGACTTTAATGAAAATAAATATATTTTTAACTTCATTGGACCTAATTTCGTTCCAATATGCTTTCTTTTACATCAATAATTTATTAAGTCAAACTTAATACTCTCTAGGTTGTTACTGTGCCATCTTCAAACTTTCGTTGAGAGAATCATGATTAGGTAGAGGAATGAAGAAGGTGTTGTTTGCTTTGCACCCTTACTATGAAAGTATAATCAAATATTTATATATGATATTGTAACGTTGTTTAGTCAAATCCATTTCATATATTGAATAAAGTATTATATAATTTATTATTTAATCATCATCATACATTGAATAGGATATCTATTTTATTTCATTGTAATTTGATTGGAATCTTATATCAACTTTTATCTTATCTATTTCTTTTTTCAAGAAGTAAATTGTGTTATCTTTTCTAGAGAGATAAGAGTATTTTAATGTATTTTTTAATGTTAAAGTATATAATTTAATTCATATGATTTAATATAATTAAAAAAAATTACTCTTGCATATATTATACTATTTTTATTTTTTATATTAAAATATAAAATAAATTACGCTTTTATCTTTTAGAAATATGACTATTAAATATTATCATTCTCTTATTATATTAAAATATATAATTTAAAATAGTTAATTTAACATTGCTAATTGATATTTAGTTCAATATCAGATAAAAAAACTTAAAATATATAATTAAATTTAAAATAGAAATTATAAAATAAATTATGTATAAACAAAAGTTAACAAAAAATTTAAAAATATAAATAAAGAGTTATATATTGAAACCTATAAAGGGAGGAGACTATAATATTTAACACAAGAAGAGAAACAAGTATAACATTTATATCTTTCAAAAGAGTACAATTTACTTGCTTTGCATCTTTACCATAAAAGTATTTATATCATATTATAAAATTGTCTAGCTAAATACATGTCAAATACTAGATAAAATAATAATATCTAATTTTTTATCTAGTCTACATTAAACATTAAGTTAAATAAATATTTTATCTCATTATAATTTGATATGATAATCTTATCTCACATTTTATCTTATTTTTCTAGTATGACTTTTATTATGATTTATTATGAGAAAAGAGTTAGGTGAAGAGTTAACAAATTATATGAGATTTATATATAACTATCGTTTTCGCATTTGTAATGCATAATAATTATTTATTTTTAACTAAAATTTATAATAAATAAAAATATTTTGTATTATATATTTTATTATAATTTAATTTTGAACGTATAAACTATGTTTTAGAATTACAATAAATAATTTATATAGTCATATAAAGTTATTTTTAACAATTGATAATCTTTTAAAAATTATTGAAATAAATATGAAATATATAATAAAAAATTATAATTATAATTTTTAATTTGAAGTAGTGTTATTGAGATTAGAACATATAACTTCATAAATATTATTTCAATTTTTAACATTATATTGAGTTTAATAATATTACATATGATACATACCATAAACACAATACATATAGTAATATATGTTAATTTATATATAACAATATGTATTATATAAAATTTGTTTTTAACATATCATCTTATATATATTTATATTAATTTTAACATGTGACCTTAAAGGGTACATTAATTAAAATATGAAAAATTAAAGAATTATTATCAAATATTTTTCACTTAAAAAATCTTAATTTCTTATACAATCCCAGGAAAATAAGGTATAAAGCCTCCAAATTCTTATTATATATATTATATATTTTCATTTCTCTTCATTATTCATATTTTATGTCCTAGAGGACATAGATATTCTAGATACCCATTATGAATCGATATTAAGAAAAGTAACTAAATAAATAAAAATTAATTTTTATAATATAATCAATTTTATGTTTTTATAATTTTAATAATTTGAATTTTTTTAGAAAATATATGTAGTTTTAACGAAAATAATAAATATATGTAATCATAATTTATATCATATCATTATCATTTTCTAGTCAACTCATATCAAAATATGAGATAAAATTGTAGAATAATATTATCTAATTTATTATCTAATTTGCATCAAAATTAGATATGAATAAAATGTATCTTACCCTTATCTTATTTTATCTTACTTATATCATTTTATTTTATTCTATTATATCGTGACCATAATTGATTTTTAAAAGTAGGATATATGTTTGTTGGTTTGAAGTATAAATAAATCTCAATTAATTTTATTCTATCTATTCTAGTATTTTTTTAATATTTTTTATTTAATTGAATTCATTTCTTAATATAAGTTTCAAGAAAAAGTAGTATATATAAATAAATAAATAACTATTTTTTTAAAAGATGAAATTAATAAAATTAAATAATGTAACTTTTTTAATTAGTGCGAATCAGTTTTTTTATTTTCTTATATTCAAAACCGGAATACTATTTAATGAAATCTTAAAGTTCGTAAATGACAAATAAAAAAAAATTTCTTCAATAAATATGACACTTTGAAGGAATGAACCGACTACGTATTATTATTTTTAATGCGTGATAAGTGAGAGGACATTTACTCTATATATTAGATTAATATATTATTTTTTGAATAAATTTTAGATAATATTTTTCAACAAGATATTTTTAGTTATTTTTATCAATAACAAATTTTTGATGAGATTTTTTAATAATCCCTTATATTTTAATTATATTATTTTAATCTACTATTTTACTTTCATTTTTTAATTGAAATTAATATTATTTTTTTTATAAAAAAAAAAAAAAAGAAGTTACAAGTAGTTGAACGATATTGTCTTTACAACTATTTTTCAACTATTTCAATCTTGTTAACTAAAACATAAAAATAAAAAATAAAAAAGCAAGTAGATTCAGTTTTAATCTTTAAACGAGATGGAATTATAGAAGATATCAAAATCTTTTTACTCGCTAAATTTGAAATTAGTTATTATCCGTATTGTTGATTATATGTTAGTTACAACAATAGTGGTCTATAAATTAACATAAGAGCGTAGTTACCTGGAACAAAGCGAAGGAAGAAATAGTGAACGAGTCTGGACCTACCATAATGGCAGAAGAATTCCAAGGAAAAGATATCAACGATTGGCTTCCCATCACCAAGTCTCGGAACGCAAAGTGGTGGTACTGTGCTGTCCACAATGTTACTGCTATGGTTGGAGCTGCAGTTCTCGGCTTACCCTATGCCATGTCTGAGCTTGGATGGTAATTTCTTCATCATCTTAATAAAGTTCTCACCATGTTTTGTACATCTAAAACTTTACAATGAAACACTATGCGTTGACTTAAGCAGACTTGTGCTGATCTAATATTATTTTACTATATGGATCGTGATAGTGGGGTAGCAAGTGGAATCCTTTAATATAGTTGTTGCATGATGGATGACTTGTTTGTGGTGTGTGTAACAGGGGTCCTGGCATTGGTATAATGATCCTTTCATGGATCTGCACTCTGTACACTGCATGGCAGATGATTGAGATGCACGAGCCTGAACCGGGGAAGGGGAAGAGGTTTGATAGGTATCATGAATTGGGTCAGCATGCTTTTGGGGAAAAGCTTGGACTTTGGATTGTGGTGCCTCAGCAACTAATGGTCGAAGTTTCCATTGGTATAATTTATATGATAACTGGTGGGAACTCTCTGATGAAGATTCATCGGATTCTTTGTAATGATTGTAAGCCCATTAAGAGAACTTACTTCATCATGATGTTTTCTTCGGCTCAATTCTTTCTCTCCCATCTCCCTAGTTTCAACTCCATCTCTGGCGTTTCTCTGGCTGCGGCTGTTATGTCCCTCAGGTACGCTTATTTCCAGGAAAGGGTTAGTTAATTTAATTTACAAAGGAGGTTTGGTTGATTGAGTATTAACAAATATGGTTGTTGATTGTGCAGCTATTCCATCATTGCGTGGATAGCATCACTTCACAGGGGCACTCTACCAGATGTGCAATATGGTGCAAAGTTTTCAACCGATATTGGGAATGCGTTTGGGTTCTTAAGTGGTTTGGGAGCAATGGCTTTCGCGTATGCTGGCCATAACGTGGTTTTGGAGATCCAAGCAACCATACCTTCCACACCTGAAAAGCCCTCCAAAGTAGCCATGTGGAGGGGGTTTGTTGTTGCTTATGTCATAGTGGCTCTTTGCTATTTCCCTGTTGCGCTTTGTGGTTATTGGGCTTTTGGAAACGCCGTTGATGATAACATCCTTTTGTCCCTTGAGAAACCACCCTGGCTCATTGTAGCTGCTAATATATTTGTCGCTATCCATGTAACTGGGAGTTATCAGGTACAATACATAACTTGCTCTCAAAATTTGTTTTCTGCTTTATCATCTAAATCTAATTAATTTTCTTGTTAGGTCTTTGCTGTTCCAGTGTTTGATATGATGGAATCGTTCATGATAAAAAGGATGAAGTTCAGGCCAAATTTGTTCCTTCGATTCATAATTCGCAATTTATACGTTTGTGAGTCTGCATGCTTTAACATCTACAAGTCCCATTTTCTAGTCCTTATTAATTCCACGTATAAAGAGAATTTATCTAATCATTTTAAGTTTCTTCATATGCAGTACTTACATTGTTCGTTGGAATTACATTACCTTTCTTTGGTGGGCTTGTCGGCTTCCTTGGGGGATTTGCCTATGCTCCTACCTCATTCTTTGTAAGTAGAATAACTTAGTCCTACAAATACAAGCAAATGCTGATGTTATTGTTAATCTATTTCACAATCTTTTGCAGCTACCGTGCATAATGTGGCTTATCCTCTACAAACCAAAGAGGTTTAGCTTGTCTTGGTGTGCAAATTGGGTATGTTATTAACCAAAAATATTATCTATGATACTATATGATTGTTTTGTTTAATATTATGCTTTTAGTTAGAAATGAGTTTGATTGTTTAATCTTGTCTCAGTTTTGCATTGTATTTGGAGGGGCGTTGATGGTGTTAGCTCCTATTGGCGGATTGAGGGAGATGATAATAGACGCTAAGAATTACAAATTTTACTCGTGAAGATATCAGGGAGGAGACTGCATGACTTGATAATTTTTTTCATGACATTCCGTCATCTATTTCCTTTGGTCCTTAGGTTATTAGATGTTTGTATTAGCTCTAGTTCTTTTGTTATGTAGCATTGATAACTTCAGTTCTGCTTTTAGCAGTTAAAGATTTTAATGTACTATGACTTGCATCCAAGTCATGATCATAGAATATGAAGAGTCAAGAGGCTTCTTTTTAATGAAAGACGCGCATCTCAAAAGAAATTAAATTTATCCAATAGTTCAAATTCAAGTTTTGCCTTTATGTAAATCCAATACACTGTAAAGCAAAGAGAGGATCGGTGATTGCGTGATAACGATTAAAAAAAATTGTTTCAAAACGTTTTACAAATGCAAGTTAGTGATTATTGTTTTAAAAAAAATTATTCAACCTGATACTAAGTCTAATACCTTTAAAATAACGATTAAATCTAGATTTTCAATTCTATATGATACTGTTTAAATTTATAAAAGAAAAAGAAAATTCTTTAAAATACTGTTTAAAATTAAAAATATTATCTTTAATTTTTTTAAAAATTGTTTCTTCTGTTAGGATAAGTTTATTTCAAATAAATAATTTTTTAAGTTTAAATAAATAAAAGGCTAAATTTGTCTTTACTCACCCCCAAAATTCTCTCTTCTTGTCATATGCCTGGAACACACTCCACACTAACCATCTTTCATTCAAACCCCTTACTCGTCCGACTCACAAGAGAAGGAAAATACTAGTTAGTTTTTACAAGAAAATATTAGAAAGAAAATTGAAAGAGAAATTAAATTAAAATTTTCAATTTTAAATAAAATCAATGTATTTTGTCCAAAATAATTGTACATGTTAATAACGAATAAATTTAAATTTTCTCATGTTTGCAAAACCCATTACAAAATACTTCTACCTTACATACAATTTCTAAATAGAAAGTCTCTTAAAAGGAATAATACTCTCCACACACTTGCGGTTAAAGTCTCTTAAAAGGAATAATAAATAGAAAGAATTGCTTTCGCCTCGGCTATCAAATATTTTACATTGAGTGAAGCTGACTAAGATCAGAGCATAGAAATAGAAATCTATACAAATATGAATTCCTATTTACAAACAAAACTGAATATTCTAATTGATACTAGCTATCCACCTAGATAGCAAAGCCCTTCAAAATAAATAGGACCAAAATGCTTGCTATTCAACATCAAACCATTTCCTATCCTACCCTAAAACCAAAAACAATGTTTATGCCCTTTAATTCTAGCTTCTGCTGTCGCATTTTCTCAAGTGCCGAGCCAGGGATAGTACTTTGGCACCGAAGCTGGAAAAGGCATTGTTGCTAAACCTGGCTATACCGACTGTTTCTTGAAACCACCAATTTATCTTGCTAAACTGATGCAACAATAATGAACCCATCAGTCGATCTCTCCTTCTTCTACATCATTTGTTTTCCCTGCAGTACTCTGAGGCGGTTCTTCTTCCTCATCCTCATCATCAACCTTCATGTACAATCCTAGCTGTTCTAACGGATTACAACTGCCCTGTAGTTTGAAACTACCCAAGCCATTTTCAGGAAGATCTGGACTTCTTTCCTCAATGAAATTTGGTAAATGTTCATCTTGGACGCCACTCAGCATCTCTAGATCTTCCAAAAATTGACTGCTCTCATTGATATCAACTGTTTTCTCCATCTGTGAACGAAGCTATTCAGTGACACTGTCTTCTTCATCTCATTAAAGAAAGGTGAATTTGCATCCTATGTTCTAAAAATCACTTATCTTTCAAAGTTACCTTTTGCAAAGCCTGACGAGCTGCTTCTCTCTCAAGTTCCCTTTTTCTTTTGGCTTCAGCTACTGCTTCCGCTTCAGCTTTCTTCCGAACCTCTTCTGCAGCCTTTGCCTCTGCCTGCAATCGAGCTTTCTCTGTTGATGCAAAAAACAAAATTTACACACCAGTCAAAAGTTTATATACTGGAGTGGTATTTATAAGGCAGAAGAAACAATTCAAGATTCAAAATGAAAACACACCCTCTTTTTGTCGCCTTTCAAGCTCTTCTCGCTCCATGCGGAGTTTTTCAGGATCCCGCTTGTCAACCTGAGTTCAATTTAATCGGTCAAGTTTCAAATAAAATTTGTAACACAGGCAAAACATGCATGAAAGATTGCAATGGATATAACAACTTCCTCTGTACCTATATAATAGGAAAAAGAAAGGTAATTTCACAGAGATTAAGAAAGTTAATTAAATAGATTTAATTTCATTGATCATATAAAATATATACTACATTTCCTAAAATATCTCCATCACATTTAATGTAAATACTGCCTCCATTGATTGTTGTTTTAGAGGCATTTTTGGTTTAAGATCAATAAATAAAGTTGATTGGATTAAAATTTATTAATGTTTCAGTCCAAAAAATTTAAGCAATTTTTGCTGATATATAGGTATCAGGATTGCCAAATTAAGATCCAGCGCATCAAAATCCATGAAATATAATATTACAGCCGTAACAAACCTTTTCAAGCGCCTTTTCCTGAGCTTTAAGTATGGTGTCAGCAAATCGGCTTCTTAATAAAGCTGCACGGTAAAGCTTTTCGGGGGATACTTGCTTCTTAGATGGAGCATTCTCCCCTAAAAGGTTACAGCATGATGAATGGTGAGATCATGCCCCAAAATTAACAGCAGACAGATTTCTTCATGTTTCAAGCTTACCCTCTTGATGGTTTTCAGGTTCATCACTAACGGAATTAGTCTGGGAACTCTGCTCAACATGGCCAGCATTCACTGAATCTACATGGGACAGAGACAGTAGGCAATATGTAAGGTAAACATGGCTAAGGCTTACTCATCAAAACTATATACAGAATAAATAATACAAAAACACAATAACAAAACGCCAGCAACTTAGGTACTCACCAATTCCTGTTTCTGAATTATCAAGATTCCCCTCCTTTTGATCTAGAGACAAGCCAGATCCTACTTTTTCCTGAAACAGTTTTTAATAGGCAAACTGAAATCAAGGCAATAGAAAATTGCATTCTCTTAACATCACATCAGATACCAAGCGTATCATGATTACCTTAATAGGATTCAAAGACACTGATGCTTTAGCATTGTCTGACTCACTATCTGAATCTGCATTCCACAATTGGAAGAAATTCAGAAAAGAATACTATATATCTACTGAATAATAAGAGCAACAAAGCAACAACGAATGAATTATCAAGCAAATTTGTGAACATACTGTAACAAATGCCTAAGTAAGGTGAAACTCCCAATCTCATTTATATAATGTAATACTAGTAAATTTACAGAAAAACTCCAGCTTCATTTTCCAACCAAGCATGCACAATAAATTAAACAAATTGGAAGACTCCTACATCAATGCAATAGTGTAACAGTGGTCCTAAGTAATCTTGCATAAAAGGGTCAACCTGATTCTATTACGCCCTGGTTTATAACACATTCATTAAAAGGATACTTGTTCCATGCTTCGTCTACAAAAGTAAATCAATCACATACCAACAGAAAGTTGTGAACACCAGATTAGCCTAACATCTTATTAGAACTTGAAATAATCAACCAGTGCACCTCTTAAAAGAGGTTTATTTTATCTGAGCTGCCAATTTAAATAGATAAGACATGTTGTACAGAAATTTAAATAGGACTAAGAAGAACTCTTAATAAAAGGCACTAATGTGACACACAGAAATCTCTTCATGATCATATTGGAATTTGATCCCTTAATCTTTGTTGCAATTAAATGTGCTAAAAAAACATCTTAGTCACTTAGGCAGGGCAATGGAGCATATCAGCACCTCTTTCCAGTTGAGGTTCTCCCACTCTCAACATATAGCCCTTAAAGGGCAGCTTTAACTCATTGCAGAGGCACCCCAGGCAAGTGGTTTACTTTTAGTGCAGGATTTAGCAAAGCACAGGCATAAGTTTCATTAGGAGTTTTATATAGAAAAAAGCAGCAGCACTGGGGTCTAACTGCCCGAAACAAATGATTTGTATAAAACAAGTACCCTTTTCAACTGTTTAATTGATATTTGTCACAAATGGTTTTTATACTTTCATTTTCATTACACTTATCTGCCTAACATGCAAGAACTCATTGGTTTTGAAGTATGGATAAAGTGCAAGCCAAATTACCTTGAGCTTAAATTCAACCTTCATTTAGAAAAATAGGAATAGCAATCATTACAAATGATTATAGAGGTTTCGATACCATGCGATTAATCAAGTATCACAAAACCTTTTAAGTAAAAGCATATGAATGAATTATCACATCTTTGAAATATTCTATCGTGTATGTTTTAGACATGGGCTGGGATAAATTCACGGTTTTACGTATTCAAGAAGCAAGGTGATCTTTTTTTATTTTGTCTTGTTTGTTTTGAACATATTCATTTCACCTACTGATTTTTTTATTATTATTATTATTGTTCTCTTCTTACTTATTTAGGTAGTTTCAGAACCATAACCATTCTGGCATTTTTATTTGGTTCTTTTTTATGCTGTTCTTATTTTTGTAGGGAGCACAATACCACTCACTCTGTTGTCTACTATGTTAAAAACAGAGTAGCACGCAGTGTTTTAATTTTCTTGTCACAATAGGGGATGATGCCTATGCGACTGATATCTACTGACAAGAGACAAGACCCTGACTAAGTACAATTATTTGCAGAATCCCAATGACACTAATTATTTTTCTTATGAATAAATATATAATTATTTTGTTACATCTTCAATGAGGCATTTACTTTTCAGCCCCCTTTGGCTCAATGCATTAGTTAGAAGCCCTAAGAACTTTAAGAGCAGTTTTTGCCTTAGACTATCATGCACGTATCAATGTTCAGTACATACTATATTCTCATTTCAAAGTATAATATAATATATATATATATATATATATATA